TTCAATCGATAACAAACGTAATTTTAAAAAAAAAATCTCAAAAGTTGGGGGGCAGGACCCCCCTTGGGTCCGCCCCTGTCGACAATTATGTTGTCATCGAAAAATTACTGACATAACTTTTACCTTCAGTATATATCGATGATAAAACTCCGTCGATAAGTAGGGTTACCGACGGAATATCAACCTTCACTAGCAGATATTTTCGTCGCTGAAGCTGCAGTTTTCAATAGTGAATGATGAATTTAAACAGTGGCTCCAAAAAAATGAATAATTTTTTCCTTGTAAAACAAGCTTTTATTGATCATGGATGTGAGTTTGCATATATCTGTCATTTTATCGTGCTTCTCTTTTTTCTTTATTCAATATGTATTAATTATATTTCTAAGTTCCATTCTTTTTGATATTCAACTAGATATAAAGTAAAATTGTCAAGAAAGAAATAAATAAATGACTATTGAGACACTCAAATCATATAGACAATAGCGTATTCATTTTGTTTTGGCATTTTTTGATATGTCTCTTACGCCCGTCACTTTGTCCCAACTTTCGAGAAGCTTTATTGATCTTCAGTTGACATAGACATGGGATCAAGATCGAGGCACCAATTCTACGAAACACACCAATAAAAGCCATTATAATTCCAAATAATGGAATGACTTGTGCCACAATAATTGTACTAATCACCAAAACTGTTCTGATGATCAAACTTATTGGTCTGCTACTATGCGAACTCAATGCGTCTTTTAGAGCAGTTACAATTGTTGAAACAATGATGACATACATGGTTACAAAATTTTTTAGCGTAGTATAGATTGTAATTTTTAAACTATTACTTCTCGTGGGCGACAAATTTTCTTCATACATAGTGTATCATAAGATTGCCATTGCTTCATAGTTGATAGTGCTTAATGTAAATCATATAAGCAAAACCTGTGGAAAGGAAGGTACACAAAATTTAGATACTCAAAAGGTATATAGAGCCTTTGAAAGTCGATATTTGCAATATATTTGGTACAAGTCACCTTAGGAAATTGACTTCTATCTTTCATGGAATTGCAAAGAGTCGAAAAAATTACACGATCGCAATAACAGAAGGTATGTAGGCTTATGACAGTCGGT